TCCTCCGCCAAAACTGTCGCCAAGAAGAGAGAGAGCGACGAAAGAGGTTCGTTGTCGAATGTTTCGTCGGGATTCACAGGAAAGAGAGAGAGAGAGAGAGAGAAAGAGAGAGAGAAATATCGTATTGCAAGGGATGAAATCACGGGGGTCGATCGATCTTCCAGGCCCGAATTTTCCATAATTCCGGCCATTTTCGAAATGGCGGCCGGCTTTTTGTATGCCGCTCGCACGGAATCGTGGCAAGGGACATGGGAAAGGGCGCACAATGGAGTCATCGATCATTCGGTATGAGAGTTGCTCGATTGCCGCTATAACCGTGGCCCTGCCTCCCTCCCCTCTCTCTCTCTCTCTCTCTCCACGAATACGAGCGCAATCGAGCGTGTATTTTTGCCGAATGCACGCGAATCCCCGCGTTACTTTTTTCTTTCCATCGAAGTGGTCGAAGTAACGAGCTAGCCAGGGAAATGGAAGCTCGTAATGGCTCGCGCCAGTATGTGTGTGTATGTGTGTATGCTTTTCTATGAATTCTTTCGCGAAGAAATAGCACCTCCGTTGAAAGAAGAGGTTTAATCATAATTTTAATTCAGAAACGAATGAAAACCGCGTGATATTTTTCGTTAATGATTTCCAGATTACGATTTTTTTTTTTAAACTGAAATTTCTCTTCTTTTCTCGAGAAACGAAAGAATTTAATTCCATTTCATTCCGCTCGAACTTAAAAATTTCGAGTTCTGCAAAGAAACATTTTCTAATTGCAGAAGATATATCGTCAGGAAGAGATATTCGCTGTTTGATCGTACTTTAATGTAAATATCGAATAAATATAATTAGAGAGAGGGAGAATGGAAGGTAATTTCAATTATTGATCCAAATTTTTCCATCCAATCCTCAAATCATCTTTTCGAAGATAGCCTCTTTTTTTGATCGATTCGCCTGCTTTTTATTCAGAATTTCCCAACCTTGTAAATTATATCTCGGATTCCTTCTTCTTGTTTTTCGTTCTCGTTCGAGAACGAGAAAATTTTTATGAAATTTTCTTTATCACATTGTCATTGATTAATCTTGAAAGG